TCTTAAGTGTATTTTCATATAGTTTTCTCTGTTTGAATCTTTAGCTAAGATAGGTTTTTCAGACAATTGAAGATGGTGAAGTTGCTTGTCCAGGGGTGTTTTATTTTGTCTTGTTTTGTTTTACTTGTATTGATTTCTTTCCTCCACTACTCTGCAACTCGTTGTCCTCAGGTTTATATCTTACTTCACTGGCCCTCACTTCAGGGGCAGTCACATTTCAGGAATTATGTGTTGTCTGTAATAGGGCAATTCTCTTTTATCCTTCCACTGTCAATATATTTGAGCTCATGAAGCTCTCTTTGAAGTCAGTGTGAGTCTCATATTTGGAAGCAAGATACCACTGAGAAAGAAGATTCTAAACTGCAGCCCTTTGAGGGAAACTTACTTTTTAAACCTGCATCTTCCTATGTACCTGGTTCTAGTAAAATACAATTGTGTAAAAGATTTCTTTACAATTTTCATGTTATTTTAAACAAGCCTCGCTCTTAGGGAGGTCTACTTTTTAAAGAGTTAAAATAAGCTAAGTGGTTAATTTTTACTTTTTAAGGAAGAGTCACTAAAGTTAAGTGACAACTGTATTTATTTTCCTTTTCTCAGACTCTTATTTCAAGGATTTTTTGGTCTGCTAGTTTTTTTTTCTTTAAGCCAGAATTTATTTTAACATCCCCACCTTAAGGGTCAAAATAATTTTATGATTTGAACATGAGAAGCTATTAAACATAGATATTAAAACATACAAACTTTGGAAGTATTTTAATGGTTTCTCAAAACTTCTGATTTTCAACAACAAATGAATGTTGTATAGAATTTTAAGCCATTTTTCCCCTCTCTATGGTGCACTGATGTACAGTAAATGTCTTGGTGAAATATACACAAACCCAGAAACACTCACACCAGACATCCACTTGCATGAGATGATCTGTAAGTGTCTTTTCCTTTTTGCTGAAAGAACGGTCAGGCCATCCCTATTCCCTATGTATAACAGACAAGGGTATGGGAGAAGCCAAAGGGGCTATTTAATGAGGAAACTTGCGGCAGTGTAGATAGACATAAACAATATGGCCTTGGGACCTAGGGACCAAAATACAATGCAGAGTGTGGGGGAGAGGATTCTTCCTTTACCCCATGAAACTTAAGCACCCTCAAGTGTCTGGTCTCCCTCAGGTGACTTCTAAGGCTTTGACAAGGGGCCTTGAGCGAAAGAATAAATCTCCCTAGAGACTAGGGGTGGGGAGAGGACTTAGAGGTGTCTGTGGTCTTGCAGTTATGCACATGGCAGCAAAGATCCACTGAACTGACATGATCTCACTTGCTCCCACAAACTACAGAGTAATCAATATTGATGTGTTTCCAAACTGCGGTAACTCTCCTTATCTTGGTTCTGGCCCAAACTGAAAATCTTAGTGCTGGATTTGATATCTCTAGTCAGATTTAGGGGGAGGCTCTAGAAAGTTGGCCAGTTCAATTTTGGATATTAATTTAAGCTTCCAATGACCTATTAACAAAAAAATAAGACCTGCTAGAAACTATCAACCCTGACTCTTCTGTAAGAACAAGATCTAGAACAAAGATGGTGGTCATCCTACCTCCATCCTGCTCAGACCTCATGGAGAGGACTATTCTGGACTGGCTTTCATAATCAAGAGGGCTATTACTCAGCAGGGGTACATGTAGGACAAGGATGATGAGAATAAGGAAGGCATGCCAGAGGAGAAGTCGCTGAAGGAATTAGAGCTGATTAGAAAAGAATGATCTTAGATGGAAGACTATGGGGAACATGTTAATTATTGCCAAACATTTCAAGGTCTGTCAGCTAATGAGATCCCATGGGACTGGGAGCAAAGGATGATTATTAGGAAGTAAGCTGCGCGGCCACAAAATGGAATGGGAATATTTTGGTAGGTAATGGGTTCCCTGTCACTAAAGACATTCAATTTGGTATTAGATGTCAGTTTGTCAGAGAGATTGAAACAGGGCCATTGTCAGCCCATACAGTGTCTCTGTGAGAATAGAAAAAGTACTCACTCTACATGGATGCAGCTGTAAGTCAACATGCACAACTAGGCTAGATTTTAACCCCCATTTGTTCCTTTTACAGGGCACCCCTATGCAGGGCAGAACCTGCATAACCACACATGGCTGTGTCCATTATCTTAACGTGTTCTGCTCCAACAGCAATCAATCAAAAGAGAGGAGGCCACACAGAATAAAAGAGCTCTCATCAACCAGAAGGAGTTGACCTATTGGACCTTAATGAAAGAACTGATCCTTTAAGCCAGATGTGTCCCTCAAGAAACAGAAATAATTTGGGCCCTTTCCTTTGTGGTTAAATTCATAATACTTCATTGCTGAAATGTACAAAGGCTACTGTCACATGAGGAATTTACTTTTGAAGCTATTAAAATGTAGATACTTTTTAAAAATATTCACTGCGGGCTAGAAAATATGTTAAGCACTTGTATAAATTATTACTTTAATCTGCCCAAAAAGTAGTAGTATTATACCCATTTTACAGATGAAGTGTAACCCAACTTGTCTGAGATCACTTTGCTAGGAAGAGGCAAAATAGGTATTTGAATCAGGTATATTTGACTCTAAAATTCATGGTCTTTCTCATAAAACAAAATTATCGTTTTGAAAAAAAGCAAGGTTTTCAGGGCGCCTGGGTGGCTTAGTCGGTTAAGCATCTGCCTTCAGCTCATGTCATGATCCCAGGGTCCTGGGATTGAGCCCTGTGTTGGGCCCCCTGCTCAGTGAGGAGTCTGCTTCTCCCTCTCCCACTCCTCCGGCTAGCAGTCTCTCTCTCTCTCTCTGTCAAATAAATAAATAAAATCTTAAAAAAAAAAAAAAAGCAAGGGTTTGAAAGCTCTAACTCAACATCATAATTCTGCATTACAGTAAAATTTTAAGATTTGGAAGGTTGAATTTGTGCAAAAGCCAGAATGTGATATAAATACTCAAGAGTGACAATCATCCTTCCTGCCATCTCTCTGAGCATTCTGTCACACTGGGCCTTACTTAGTTTGTACCCATGCACCATTAAACTGACGAAATGGAGAGGTGGTTTTCAGAACATCTGCTTGCACTGTTGCAGCTATAGGTTCACTAAAATCTCCCCTCCCTTCTGTAGCCTTACCCCATGACAACAGTCTCAGCGCTGCTTCCTCCCTTGCACTTCTTTTGCATTCCTGATCGGTACCGTTGACTTGGCAACTACTCAACACCGCATTTCTCATTTGAAATTTGAACTGAGCGCTTAAAGTGGTCATTGTATAAGTGTCATCTCCTCATCTAGGTGGAGACCTCCATGAGGGGAGAGACCATAGTTTATACTTCTTAGAAACCACCTCAACTGTGCTTACGTGCCGTGCCTTGCACAGAGTTGACTGTCTTATGTTGTCCTACAATTTTAGAGTGATTGCAGTACGTACGTAGCCTGAACTAAACCCAGTTCTAAGCATGTTTAGATTTAGAATGAATCTCCCATGAGCCCCTGTTCAGTAAGTGTTCTCATCATCATCTTCCTTGGGAATTTTTAAGTAGGGACCTATGGCCCTGGACGATGAAGTCCAATGTCTTTTCCTCCCTCTTCTTCTGACTGCATACAGTCTCAGACTGCAGTGTTTATGATTAGCAGTGTCTCCCTGAAACTCCTTGTATGTGGACTGCCACTCCCTTCTTTCCTGTAGGTGAGAACCTACTATTCTTGCTCTACTCCTACTCATTGATTCCTCTCCTGAGAGGCTACAGGGATGAATAACATCACCAGTAAATGTTACATTCACCAGACACAGACCAGCAGCCATTACAGATGATGTCTACGGATGGTGCTAAAGAATGCCTCTGCTTCCCAATTCTTCATGCATCCAGGGGCCTCTCTGTGCCCCAGATCCTCGGGATGGCACAAATTCCACACTGCGGCACATCGTTGCATAGTAACAATGGCTCGTGACAGTGGTTAGTGTTTTCCTTACATATAGGGCAGTTTAGATTAAAAAGTCGATAGAGTTCTTACTCTTCTTGCTGTGGTACCCTCACTCACGTGTCCTGGAACCTAGGATTCCACAGAGTGTGGTTTGGAAAATGTCTCCCCTGTAGACTTGCATTCATTTATGTAATTTCAGTTATCACCTGCCATGCCACAAACCTCACATCCTCCATGAAAATGTTCCTTGACGTCATGATTTTGAACAGTACTCAGTTTTGCATTTCCATAGCTCCTGGCAGTGCTCAGTTTGCACTTAGGGAAGAAGTGGTGGAAGGGAGGGAGGGGAGTAGGGAATCTTACTAATTCTTATGCCCTTTCTGTAAATTTGATGATTGTAGTGAACGTGATACAAGGGAAAGTTCACAAAATCATTTTGCATAAAATTCCTGTTCAAATCAAATATGGATGTAATTCAAATGATTAATGTTAGGGGTCAGTAGCATTAAAAAGAGTTTTCCGGTAAGATTTTGTAAGTAGGAAATGTGTTTTGTTAAGAAACTCTGAGACACACTGGAGAAGTAGTTACATAATTACTAGGATTACGCATGGTCTAGATCTGCTCTTTTGCTGCCTTTAAAATTTTGTAAACTCCTAATTTATTTCCTGATTTTTCCCCATTCTGGGGCTTAATTTTTCCCTGTGTCAAACATCCAGTCTGCTCAGTTAAGGGGTGTAGGTTTTGGGAGGTCAGTGGAATTTATTATGCTATGGTGTTAGCATCCTATTGTCAATTTCAGTCATTACTTGATTACTTACTTTATGTCTGTCGGCTTTGGCCTAAATACAACCTAGAGTGGTTCTCTGGATCACAGGGAATCTATTATTTTACATTACATCAGGTAGGTTTTTTTTGAAGTAGCTATTGATAATTACCTCGCTAGTCTGTTACTCAAGTCACTTATCCCTTCTTAAGGGGGATAGATAATCCTACTATGAGTATAATTTTATGAGATTTGCTTTCAAGCAAGTTTATGTTTCTCTGTTTTCTTACTGCCTGCTTTGGTTTTGATAGTTTCAAAGAAAGCATGGAGAAATCATCATATTCCGACTGGCTCATAAATAACAGTGTTGCTGAGCTCGTGGCTTCCACAGGTCTTCCAGTGAACATCAGTGATGCCTACCAGGATCCTCGCTTTGATGCCGAGGTAAGAGGAATATTCTCGTTGCAGTCTTAAGGTTCACTTGTCACAGTGGTGATGGTTTGCTGGTTGAAGCAAAAGAGGGACCATCATATAGATCGATAGCAACCCTTGAGTTTATAGGCAATTTTTTTTTTTGCATCTTTCCCCCGTGATCAGATTTTTAGCATTGCCTACTGTTGCGTAACAGAAAAACCTCCTCTCTACTCTGATTTGTGGCAAAATGGGTATCTGTTATGTATTAGTTTGATGCTCTTTTACAATTGGGTACATTTTATATTAAATGTACCCATATACAAGTACCCATGCCTTAACTCATGGACATTTTATATTAAACACAGTTTATATTAAACGATAATTATTGATAAAAATGCATATATAACATAGTTATTTCCCAATAGATGCTAGAACAACTACCATGTCTTTTAAAATTGCTCCCAAGAAATGGTAAATTGGTTTGTGTTATTGTTTAATGTTAATTTTGTAGGCACATTGTGCTCTATGCAGAATATATTAAAGCAGTATAGATTCTGACTTGCAAAAGTTTAAATTCTAAGTATCTACAGTATCATACAGATAAATTTACATGAATTTATAAAATGCGTGTGTGTGTGTGTGTGTATTCAATAAATTACACGTTTCCTATTCTACATTGCCAAGCTAAGATCTAAAGAGTAGCAAGAGTTTTTTGGCGAGGAAGGTGAGGAGATGTGTTCCAGGCAAAGCTGAGAGAGCATGGGGGCTGAGGGGCTGGAGAGCTGAGATGAGTTAATGCTGCCGAAAGCACGAGGTAGATGAGGCTGGAGGAGGAAGCAGAGGTCAGATTGCTCCAAGACTTTGAAAGCTACGTTAAGAAGTTTGAGTATTTGTCTTAGGCAATGGGGAGCCAGTAGTTGAGTTTTAAATCAGGGAGACGCAGGACTTGTATTTTAGAAAAATCACACCACCTCTGTGGCTACAGCACAGAGGATAGATTAGCAGTAATAACTGAACATTTAAGCTGAAATGATGACTCTGGAGACAGACAGGGATTCAGTCCCAGTCTCCAGACTCCATAGCCCTCCTCCTCAGGTCTGCTCTATGCTGCCCCATGTCTGGGGTGGGGCATGATGTGGCAGGAGACTGCAATCTAGACTTAACTTCGAACTTCAGTCATGTCATCTTTGCAGATCTCTGCAGGGAAATTTTTTATTCCCCAAAACTCACCACCTCTCTGTAGCTGCCTGGGAGCTTTCTTCCCCCAAGCCATGTCCTCTAGTAGTTTCTGTTAATTCTTGAGCATGGAGCTTAGCTTCTCCTACCTTGCAAAGGCTTTCACGAACTCCCAGACTGGGTTGGGTGTCTCTGCAGCATTCTCCCTCGACTGTCCCAACCCTGACCACCCTCTAGCTCTCTTCAGTTCTGATGCATTATTTCTGAGTTTTGACTTACCTTTCTTGGGAAAGTACACAGTCTAAAGCTTCTTTAGTTGGCCTCCTTTGCGGGAAAATACCACCACCTTTGTTCTGTGATTGGCAGAGCAGAAATAATTTATAGAGGTCAATATTTGTATACTTTAGCATTATGATTGGGTTAGGACTGATTTGACAAAGTTTTGTGTTTTGCCTTGTTTCTTTCTTCCTTGCTTTTAGAGAGAGAATACTGAAGAACAGATATCTAAACATCGTTTTATGAAGGAATGCTTTCAATACCCTATTATTGACATCAGTAATAGCTGAACAAACTGAAAGGCTTCTATGCAGAAAAATCATTCGTTGCCAATTCCTTGTTACCAGGTCATCATGTTAGATTAGATGTCAAGGGGTCATGATTGATTCCTATCCCAAATTTTAATGCTAAGTTTGGTATGGATTACTGTTATTCTGCTCCTAGCTTTGGATCATGAAGTCAAATTCTGGGGGGAAAAAAAGAATCAACAAATTACACCATTTTAAAAAGTTGGTTAATTAGCCATATGTAAAGGTATAACGAAACATGAGGCAGTGAACACCCACTACCCAGTTTAAGAAAAGAACATGATTATTACTTGTGAATCCTTGTACAGATCTTCCCTAATCCTTTCCCCCTTTGCTTTCCCTGCAGAGGTAACCCTATCCTAATGTGACCTTAACATTCTATTGCCTTTCTGTATAGTTTCATTGCATATGTCTGAATCCATGCCAAATATATCATTATATCTTACATGTCTCTGAACTTTATATACATTATATTATACTGTATGTATTCTTCTGTGGCTTGCTTTTTCATTCAACATATGTTCCTGAGTCATGTGAGTTTGCAGTTCATTCATTTATTTGCACTGCTGCCAAGTATCCCACTGTATGAATAAGCCCTGCTTTATTTATCCACTATGGTGTTGATGGACATTTGGGTTCCATGTTTGGTTATTACATACATAGCTGCTAAGGACACTCTTTTACATGTCTCTAAGTGTACACATGCAAGAGTTTTTCTAGTGTCTATATGTTGGAGAATGACATGCTGGGTCATAGGCTATCAACGTGTTTGCCTTCATCAGGGAAGGAAAAATTCTTGTCCAGTCATTGGTCTTTTTTTTTCCTATGGGAAACAGCACATGTAGCAGGCACAATTAATATCTCAGGAATACTTCTGCTCATACAATTTAGTGATATTGGATATACCATATCTTTATGTCTGCAGACTCTTACCACATCTCTTCCTGATTAGTGATACAGCCATTTTACATTTTTCTCTGTGCTTATAGTCCATTCCAATAAAGCAGCCTGCTCCACTGATCTATAAAAAGAACAGTGTGGACTCCTGAGCAAAAATGCAGCAGTTACTTCTGTGGGATTGGTCATAAAAATTTCATGCTTTTATCCAGTAGTTAGAAGCAACGATGCCTGAAGACAATAAACTGTGGTAGGTTAAGCAATGACTATTTCCTGAAATCACTTTCTTCCCTCTGATAAAATAAAGCATGTACTTAGACCAACATTTTTTCTTGGTGTTTCACCTAAAATGCTTTCAATCTGTCACATACCTAATACTAGATTTCAAATGCAAATCTGAAGATGCATTATATATGATTTTTACATGGTCTCTTTGCATGGTATTGGAATTTAAAGTTATTTTATGTTTCCCTTCTCATGCTAAGGGAAAAAAACTGGTAAGGAATTAAGCAATGTAGATGGAGGTGAGTGAGAGAATTTTGCCTAAATGTAGGCATTTAGTAGATGTGTTCTATGAATGTGTGTGTATGTTATAGTGTGTGTGTGTATTGCTAGGAAAAGCAAAATTATTTATCTGCTTAGGCTTCTTCCCTTTTCAAGTATATTTTGCCTCAGGGCATTTTGTCAACTGTTTATGTTAATAATGAATGAGACTCCAGACTAAGTCACGATGCCAAGAGGCTAAAAGGCTCCAACCTTCTCCCCATGAAGCCTGATGTAAGATGGTGTAGATCATAAGATAAAGACAACCATTTCAGATAATATTTTTATTAATGGTTTAAAAGTTTTCCTCACTATAAAAAAAATGTCATGACAAAATGAAATTGCTTCGTTCTTGCACTAAAAGTAATTCTGGAATCATCCTAGAGGTAGAGGGTAACTTTTATAACTGTGTTGTCTTCCTGCAAAGGTTTGAGTCCTCTCCGCTTGGTCTGCTATGGATCCATAATTTTTATCAGTAATTATAATTGATTAGTTATTTATTACTGATAGAAAATAAGGAAATAATTTTTTAATCCAGGATTAATGGAGTATCTCCCAGAGTTCTCTCCACTGGAAAAGGTGCTTGCTTTTTGGTCCACTACACTCATTGACTTCCCTGAATAGTTTGAAGCTGGTTAATAAGAATGATAATTTGCAGAGTGGTAGCATGGGTAATCCCTTTCAAAGCATTTCCTATTTTTCTTACAGATTTTCTCAACCTAAGTCTATATAATGAACTTAAATCTGCCAAATATATATTTTCCTGAACGCTGGTATCTATCCTAAATTTCTCAATGGTTCAGTGGCTAATTCTGACAACTTGAATTCTCTTAACTGAACATGAAGAAGGACCCCAATTCACCAGACAATGTAGTGTCCTGGGATAGAACACCCAAAAATGGATTGGTCTTATTCTGGGGTTTTATACTATAGATGTGTCAACTTTCAGTTAATAGGAATACAAGAGATTTCTTTAATTTACAGATGAGGAAACAGACTCAGAGAGCTGAAGTGACTTGCCTAAGGCCACACAGCTTCCTTGAGATAGGACACAGAACCGACTGGACTTTCTGATTCCTAATTCAATTCTCTGACTGGTCTCCTATAGGGACCAGCTGCTAAGGGGCTGCCTGGGCAATGGAATCACCACTCCATCTTTCCTCTATCCACAAAGGCAAATGAATGTTGGCCAGTAGACCTACCTCTTTGTCCAGTCTGCTCCACTCACCTGCTGAGTCATCTTGGGCACACTACTTGCATATATATTGTAACATGTAAAATGCTATATAAATATTTTGTAAATGATGCAGTTCTATAGAAATGTCAGTGAAGATATTTATCTGATTAAGGATTAAGTTTCTTCTTTTGGGGTAGGAGCAAGTTGGCAGAAGCAGGTCCTTTTCTCTAAAGTGAGGGGCCTTTACACAGAGCTGCAGACCAGCAGACCTTGGTTATAGACAAGCCAACTTCAATTCTCTTCATCCCCAGACACAGTGGGGAAAGAAGAGGAAAGTCTCGAGCCAAAGAGGGGAGTTAAGGTTGATTGTTTGTTGACAGTAAAGAGGAGATGGTGACACTAATCTGATAACCTGTAGGTCTTCAAGTCAGCCAGGTCTTTCTTTGTCTTCTCAGAGGAGGAACAGTAACAGATGTTAGTTACAGAGGTGGTGAAGGCTGGATGCATGTCCTGTGGCCTTCGACTGCCATAGAGATGGTCACCATATCCTCTCCTCAAGGAGCCAGCAATATGCAGACTTGGCTTTTAACAAGAATAGTCAGACATCTAGGGGCCAGATTACCAATACACATTAAGGATGATCAAATTTCAGG